GGCATTGTAGCTGTTGGCGCCGGGCGCTGCGCTGCTTGATGAAGGCTCCCACGGACGTGGCCATCCCGAACCGGGCCCGTGGAACACCCGCGCGCGCTCCCGTGCAAGGGGGAGGGGCGCCCGAGCGAAATGGCTGAGGAAGGGGAGGAGAAGGAGGAGGAGGGTGAGGCGGAGGGGGAGGAGGATGGGGGAGGAGGGGGAGGATCAGGAGGAGGAGGAGGAGCAGGAGGAGGAGGAGGAGGAGGAGGAGGACGAGCAGGAGGGGGCGGGGGAGGAGGATGATGATGATGAGGAGGAGGAGGAGGAGGGGGAGGATGGTGATGATGAGGAGGAGGAGGAGAAGGGAGGAAGACGAAGACGGAACATAATATGGATACGAATGCAACAAGCATGCGAATCATCGTAGCACGAGTAATAATATTATCGGGAATAATAACAACTCACTAACAATACGAAAACAGATGACGACTGGTAATACTCAGCATCATATTCAACATACTAACCATAATACCACGATTAAAGTCGGACTAATACGAACAACCGTATACGAAGGATAACAATCATACGAAGGCGGAGCAGAAGAGGAGGATGCTGAGGATGAGGGGGATGAGGGGGAGGATGGTGATGATGATGATGCTGATGATGATGATGAGGAGGAGGAGGAGGAGGAAGATGACTAGTGCCACATCCAAGTGTCATCGACGATGCCGGAATTAACCCTCCCTTCGAGCTCACTCTTCAGAGGCCCCTACAATGGTTTATTTCCATTGAGGGGACTGCCTCATTGGAAGACAATCTTTTGAGGATCCCGAGGCATGCCAAAACATTGTTCTCGTGATTTCAACGCGACGTATCAACCTGACTGTTGCGTCTTGACGATCCTGCATCGTGCCAGAACGCCGTTATTGGGACTTCAACACAGAGAATCAACGCAACTGTTGCACTCGCATAATCATGAATCTTCCGAAGCACCGTTTCTGGTGCATCGATGATGGGAATCCGTGGAACGCTTGCAATTTATTTAAGCGAATGTGCGCGGCGCCAAGGCGAGAGCCACATTTCGAAAACGACCCGCCCTCGATCCGTGAAGTTCTTGCAGTTTTTGAAACGAATGTGCGCGGCGCTAAAGCGAGAGCCACATTTTGAAAACGACCCGCTCTCAATCCATGGCGACCCTGTATTTTTCCCAACCCTCCTGCGTTGGGTACTCGTTTTGAATAGAGCACTGCGGTCTCCGTTCTCCTCCTCCCGCCCCCCCCTCTCTTCCCTCCTCCTCTCCTCTCTTGCTTGCCTTCTCCTCCTCTCTTCGCTCCTCCTCTTCTCTTCTCTTGCCTTTCACGTCATCCCTGGCGGGCTGCGATCTGCGGAACTGTCACCACTTTCGAGGGCTGCTGGTGGGTCCAGCGGAGTGAGGCACCACGGGGACTCAGATTAGACCTCGCCATCCCTGGGGGGGGGGGCTGCGATCTGTGAAACTGTCGCCACTTTCGAGGGCTGCTGGTGGGTCCAGCGGAGTGAGGCACCACGGGGACTCAGATTAGACCTCGCCATCTCTGGGGGGGGGCTGCGATCTGTGAAACTGTCACCACTTTCGAGGGCTGCTGGTGGGTCCAGCGGAGTGAGGCACCACGGGGACTCAGATTAGACCTCGCCATCTCTGGGGGGCTGCGATCTGTGAAACTGTCGCCACTTTCGAGGGCTGCTGGTGGGTCCAGCGGAGTGAGGCACCACGGGGACTCAGATTAGACCTCGCCATCTCTGGGGGGCTGCGATCTGTGAAACTGTCGCCACTTTCGAGGGTTGCTGGTGGGTCCAGCGGAGTGAGGCACCACGGGGACTCAGATTAGACCTCGCCATCCCTGTGTGAAACTGTCGCCACTTTCGAGGCTGCTGGTGGGTCCAGCGGAGTGAGGCACCACGGGGACTCAGATTAGACCTCGCCACCCCTGGGCGGCTGCGATCTGTGAAACTGTCGCCACTTTCGAGGGCTGCTGGTGGGTGGCCAGCGGAGTGACACCACGGGGACTCAGATTCTGACCACGAGCAATGCTCGCGTGCCCTTGCTCTGCGGTTCGTGCCACGTGGCGCTGCGACTCGAGCTGGCGGTCGTCCTTCGGACCCGCAGAAACATCTGCTGAGCTCGATGAGCTAGGGGAACTACAGGAAAGAAGTGCAGGAAACGGAGGCCGGTCATGCACTCGCCGATACCTCGTTGCTCTGTCATCGTCTTTGCTGTTGCATGATCCTTATCTGGCCTGCCGGCGCCGCGGCTCGAGCTGGCGGTCGCCCTTCGGGCCCGCGGGAACATCTTCTGAGACAAGTGGACGCCGCCGCCTTACTTGCAGGCAGCGCATTGCATTCGCGGACAGCAGCATGGCAGACCGCAGTGAGATCCTCAGTCGCGTGGTGTTGCCAAGCCTGGTGGAGACGCGCGTGATCGACCTGAAGTCCCAATCGCGCGTGCACTGTACCTGCGTGGCGTTCAGGCACGCGCGTGATGCTGCTCGCTCCGCGTTCAACCAGTACGTCGCCAGTGCAACTTTGGACGATGGACAACCGATTGATGATACGCGACCCCGGCCTTGAGTTTCTTTCCCGCGGGCCGCCCGCAGACCTGGCGGCGCGCCTGCGAGCGTTCAGCTCCCGCGCTGAAATGTGCGGGAAGGAGGCGGAGAAGCTAGCGGGCGAGCTACGCCTCGCTCGTTCCTTGCACTCTAAACAAGTTTTATCATGTGGAACTCTGCGACGACATGGCGCAGGCAGCGCTGCGGGTTTAGCTCGCACTTGAAAAACGCGGCAGTCTTCTGTCTCCTCCCGCCACTTTCATCGTCGTCCTATTCCCCGCCTCACCTTCTCCATGCATGCTGCTGCTTCCGCGATGGCCTTTCGCCCCCCCCCCGCCCTCCATTCCATCCCTCTCCTACCCCTCGTTCCCGTGCCCGTTCTTCTTCGATCCTGGGGCCTCAAGCCTCGTTCTTTCGATCGTCGTCCTGTGAATCGTGCAGCGCATGCGCATCCCATGTAGCTTGCGCAGCAAATCGCCGCGTCTACACTGTCGTTGTTCCTGCTAATGTTGGCATACTCCTCTTGCCATTTGATGCGCGTGGGTTGGGTGCGTCGCAAGGTAATTTTGAAACGGATGAGCGCGGCGCTAAAGCGAGATCCGCATTTTGAAAACGACCCGCCCTGAATTCGTTAAAACTTTGTGAATTTTGAAAACGAATGTGCGATGCGCTATGGCGAGAGCTACATTTTGAAAAGGAGCCGCCCTCAATCCGTGAAGCCCTTGCAAATGTTGAAAGCGAATGTGCGCTGCGCTAGGGCGAGAGCAAAATTTTGAAAACGGCCCGCCCTCAATTCGTGAAGCTCTTGTCACATGTTACAGCGAATGTGCGCGGCGCCAGGCGGGAGCCCCATTTTGACAACGACCCGCGCTCAATCCATGAAGTTTTTGCAAATTTTCAAGACGAGTGTTCGCGGCGCCAAGGCGAAAACCACATGTTGAATACGACCCGCTTTCCGTCTGTGGCGCTGTTGTCGCTTTTAAAGTTTCAGGGTCGTACGTAGTGAGGAAATCCCAGGCGAAACGCCCGGCCGCCCTAAACATTAGCCTCGGGTTGCGACAGGGAGCGGCTACCTATAAGGAGAGGGAATGGAGGGGGAGGAGAGGGAGGAAAAGGGGGAGGAGGAGGGGGAGGAGGAGGAGGAGGAGGAGGAGGAGGAGGAGGAGGAGGAGGAGAGGAGGAGGCGGAGGAGGAGGAGGAGGAGGGGAAATAGGAGGAGGAGGAGGAGGAGCAGGAGAAGGAGGAGGAGGAGGGAGGAGGAGGAAGGAGGAGGAGGAGGAGGAGGAGGAGGAGGAGGGGGAGGAGGATGGGGAACAGAAGCAGGAAAAGGAGGAGGGGGAGGAGGAGGAGGAAGAGGAGGATGATAGGAGGAGGAAAGGTTCTGAAAGAAGAGGGTTCTGGAGGAGGACGAAGGAGGAAGAGAGGAGAGGGGAGGAGGAGGAGGAGGAGGAGGAGGAGGAGGAGGAGGAGGAACAGGATAAGGAGGAAGTTGGAGGAGGAGGGGGAACAGGAGGAGGAGGAGGAGGAGGAGGAGGAGGAGGAGGAGGAAGGGAAGAGGAGGAGGAGGCGGGAGGAGGAGGAGGAGGAGGAGGAGGAGGAGGAGGAGGAGGAGGAGCAGGGGGGAGGGGGGGGGATGGAGGAGGAGGAGGAGGAGGAGGAGGAGGAGGAGTGGGAGGAGGAGGAGGAGGAGGAGGTGGAGGAGGTGGAAAAGGGAGGAGGAGGGAGGAGGAGGACGAGGAGGAGGAGGAGGAGGAGGAGGAGGAGGAGGGAGGAGGAGGGAGGAGGGTCTGAAGGAGGAGGAGGAGGAGGAGGAGGAGGAGGAGGAGGAGGAGGAGGAGAGGAGAGGTGGAAAAGGAGGAGGAGGCGGCGGAGGCGGAGGAGGAGAAGGAGGAGGAGGATGGGGAGGAGGAGGAGGAGGAGGGAGGAGGAGGAGGGAGGAAAGAGGAGGAGGAGGAGGAGGAGGAGGAGAGGAGGAGGAGGAGGAGGAGGAGGGGAGGAGGAGGAGCAGGAGCAGGTGGAGGAGGAGGAGGAGGAGGAGGTGAGGAGGAGGAGGAGGGAGGAGGAGGAGGAGGAGGAGGAGGAGGAGGAGGAGGAGGGGTAGGAGCAAGGCCAGGCGTAGGAGCAGGAGGGGCAAGGTGAGGTGAAGGCTACGCGGAGGAACGGAGGTGGAGGATCGGGAGGAGCGGCAGCAGGAGCATGGGAAAACGGCAGACGTGAGGGAGGGCGGGGAAGCAGGGCGACGTGAGGGTTTGGAGGGGGCGGGGGGAGAGGAGAGAGGAGGATGTATTGAGGATCACGAGTGGGAGGGAACGGGAGCAGAGGGAGCAGGGTGTGTGGGGGGAGGAGTGGATGGGGAGGGATGGGGAGGGAGTGGATGGGGAGGGATCGAACGGGAGGAATTGCCACTTGGTTCACGCCCACCCCTCGAATTCTCAGGAACATTGCCACCGCAACGGCACGTACTTGGTCCCTGGCGTCGCCGACACGGCGTACCACGGGGGCGGCCTGGCGCTTCGCCGCGCCGCACCCGCTGAGCCGTACCTCTGCGGGCTAGAGCTCCGTCTTCCTCGCCCTCCTTCTCTTTCTCCACTTTCTTTTCTCTTGACGCCTTCGCACGCATCGATCCAGGAACTTTCGGAGCTCCGTGCGGATTTCTTGGGTTGGTGCTGGCCCCCCCCCCTGGCGGCGCCTCTGGCGTCGCTCCTGGTGGGTTCCGCGCGCCAGGGACCAGCGCCGATCCAAGAAACCCGCGCGGATGTCCGACATATTACCTCTATGGTGTGTTTCCTCTTCTTCTTCTTCTTCTCCTTCCTGTTGTTTTTCTTCTCCTCCTTCTCCTCTTCCTTCTACTAGTGCAGGAGTCAATCGGAACAGCAAGAGGGCAGTCTCGAGCCAGAGGCAGGCCAAGGGCTACAAAGCTCCAGGCGAACAAGGTCCCTCGCCAGTTACAGCGTGCGTCTCAGCTTCTCTTCGTCGATCCCTCTCGTCTTTCTCCTGCCGCCTGCCCATTCCTCTTCCTCCTCTGCCTCGTCAATCTCGGACTCCTCGTCCTCCACTCCTCCCCATCCTGCCGCTGCTGCTCTCCCCATCCCTCCTCCCCCCTTCGTCGCCCTCTTGCTCACTTCCCTCCTCCTCCTCCTTCTCCTCCTCCCCTGGTCGGTTCCGTCGAGGGCTGTGGCCGAAGGTTCCCCGAGTAGGGCTGGAAGGCCGGTAGGCGAGGCACTCCGCGGGATCCCCCTCCCCCTCTTTGAGCTCTTGTTTTTCATTCAGTCTGCCGACATTCTCGTTATCATTCTCGTTATCTTTCCCCTCCTGCCGTTATCTTTCCCCTCCTGCCGTCTCCAGGAACCCAGAAGGGGGGCTTCCCTAGGCCTACCTGGCCTTCGTCTCGGCCTTCCCCAGCCCTACCCATGTCTCCGTAGGTCTACCCCTGCCAGGCCTTCCCCGGGCCTACCGAGGTCTTCGTAGGTCTACCTCTGGATGGGAGGCCTTCCCTGGGCCCACCTGGGCCCTCCTAGGCCTTCCCTGGGCGTCCCCCCTTCTCCCCTCTCGCCCCTCTTCTGCCGCGCGGTGCCGCCCCCGCCCGCACTCACGCGCCGCTCTCTCGGCGCAGGTGCTGTCGGAGCTGGCCCAGAACGTGCGGAGCAGGGGGGGGTGTCGTCGGGAGCAGCTGGTCGATCGGACTCGGTACTGCGGCAGTCTGCGCGCCGTCTTGCTGAAGGCCCGCACCCTGAGGGCCAGGGGTCAAAGGAAGACAAGTTACCGATACGGCCGCATTTCCTTCGCTTTCGCCTTCTGGGCCTCCTGGGAGGCCCTCGTCGCCACGGCTGCATTCGCCCCGAAATTCTGGTCGGAACGCACCCTGGGAGAGGTCCAGGGAGTAGCGGAATCGGTATCTTTTTGTTTCCGAAGGCTCTCACCCCGAGGGCCAAGGGGGGGGGAGACAGGGGTACTCTGCTTTGACCGCCACCCTCCCCAGCGAAGGTAGGCTCTGCCCTGGGTTCCAGGCGGTCCAGCGCACAGACACGAGAGGGCGACGGACGGCGCGCAGCGCTAGAAGCGACAGTACGGGAAACAAGGAAAGTAGGCATCCGGCAGTTGGTAAGGCTGGGACTTAGGCTGTGCAGGCCTTTGGGCTCCCCCTGCTTCCTAATCTCATACCTCTCGAACCCCCAGGTTGTATTATCATGTCTTCTCCATCGCCCCCCTTTCCACCTGAGCCCGTTGGCTCTCAACGAGAGCGGGGCGTAACGGCTTGAGCAACGATGATTCTCGGATTTCTATATCGCGTTAGCGATGTCACACCCCTCTCCGTTCTCGCCTGCCCCCTTTGCCCCTCCCCCACGAAATTGCCGTCGGCGCTCCTCGTCCTCGCATCTCTTCCCCAAATATTTTCTTCTCTTCGTCCTGATATTCCTCTGATCTCCCGGCTACTTTACCTCGCTCGCGTAACCACCGCTGTAGCCACATAAGCCTTGGCGGGAGGGGGAGGCGCCGCCGGAGGGGTCAGTGCAGTCTCACACTACGAAACAGTTTCGGTATCCATGCGTGCGTGGCGGCATCCGCGTTTTAGGAGCTAAACAGTAGCCGAGCGTGTCGACACAATGCGGGATGTGTTGACCATGTTTGCGTTTGCGACGGTGTGCCGGGACTTTGGGGAGAGGAGCGTGATCTCTTGGCCCATCACCAGTGGTGTGACGGCACAGTCTGTCTTATACGGGCAGGCGCGAGAATGCCGCGTGAGCACAGGCAGGATCCCAAGTATGAGTACGCAGCATCTTCGAGAGCCCCTTCACCTTTGTATTTCATATTGAGTTCGCGCGCTCCTTTGAACAGCGCAAGCCAGCCCAGAGCAAGGTATGATGAACACGGGTATGCACGCGAGCATCGGTGAAGCAGCGAGAAGAGAGATGGGACCACAGCAAAACCGGATGAGACCGATGAGACCACGATGAGACCACGACGAAACCGCGATGAGACCACGATGAAGCCACGATGAGACCACGGTGAGACCACGATGAGACCACGCCGCGACCCAAACACCCATGATAGATGGTCGATCAATGTTACGAGCATGTGCGTGTGATGCACGACGTGCGGATCGCACGCGACTCCAGGGCATTCGAATCACAGCGCTGCAAATGTCACGGGATCGGTGCGGCCACGCGCCCTGCACAATCATTGCGCGGTGACTTTGTCAGGAGGTCCTAAGCAGCAGAACACTCAACACATCTAAGAGAGCTCCAAGAGAGTTCGAAGAGGGTCTGGAAACGATCACAAATATGCGAAATTGTCCTTCTGCCACGCGTATCCCTTGAAAGGACCGCTTGAGCCGCACAAGTTTGCGCGCGCACTGGCGGGCTGATGAGGGGGGCGTCGAAGAGGAGGAGGAGGAGGAGGAGGAGGAGGAGGAGGAGGAGGAGGAGGAAGGAGGGGTGGAGGGAGGCGGGGACATGTGGGATTGGGCCGCGAGGAGTAATGATGGAGGAGGGAAATGGGAGGATATGGAGGGACGGCGGTGTCGGGGAGGAGGGATGAAGGACGAAAAGAAGTAGGATGGTTGAAAGATACTTGCGCTGTTTCTGATTACCCCACATGGGCTGACACATGTTCATGCTGATCACGTCAGTCGAGATCCACCGCTTTGCTTTAAACACTCGAGATAATGATTATATCAACCACTCCTGGCTGGAGCGAGCCATATGAGACCAACTCGACCGAAGGGGCACTACGCTGACACCACGGATGGTCCAGAAAACGATGATTACAAACAAAAGGCTGTACGTCCCAGCCTCACCACCGGTTGTCGGCAGCGATGAGGGAGGAGGGAGGTCTCGTTCCCGCAGAGTCGTTGCTCCCTGCAGTCAGGGCGTTGAAGCAAGGACCACTGGGCTTCGGGGGGGCTCTGGTTTTCGGGCCGCTCCCGAGATGTAGGCTGCGGGACCTCTTCGTGGTCGAGGTTCGCCGCGGCCAGAAAAGCCCCCTCGTTCTTTTTTCCCCACATGTTTCGTGGGGTTCTTGTTTTCTTCCCTGCCGCGTCGCACCCGCGTCTCCCGCACTCACCTCCCTCCTCCCCTCCTCTTCCTTCCTTCCCTCACCCACGCGCGAGACATGCACGGCACGTACATGAGGCACGCATCCACATACAGCCGCACACACATCATGCATATGCACAAGGCACACAAGACACAAGACACGCATGCCGCACGCGCACATTCACAAAACATGCAGCGCCAGTGCAGGCCTGGCGCGTTCACTGAATGATACACCCAAGAGGTATGTGCACGGTCGTCCAGGCACAGAAGGCGTTGCCCTTTCCCGACACCGCACGGGGTGCGCAGGGGGTGGTCCCTCATCGCAGCCGCTATGCACGCCGGTCGTCCAGGGCATAGCAGGCGTGGCACTTTCTCGACATCACACGGGGTGCGCAGGGGGTGGTCCCTCACCGCAGCCGCTATGCACGCGGGTCGTCCAGGGCATCGCAGGAGTGGCACTTCCTCGCAGCCACAGGGGGTGCGCAGGGGGTGGTCCCCCAGCGCGGCCGCTATGCGCGCCTGTCGTCCAGGCATAGCAGGTGTTGCATTTTCTCGACACCTAGGGTGTGCGCAGGGGGTGGTCCTTCCCCGCGGCCGCTGTGCGCGCCTGTCGTCCAGGAACATAGCAGGTGTGCCACTTTCTCGCAACCACAGGGTGTGCGCACAGCGTGGTCCCTGACCGCGGCCGCTGTGCGCGCCGGTCGTCCAGGCATTGCGGGTGTTGCATCTTCTCGACACCATAGGGTGTGCGCAGGGGGTGGTCCCTCACCGCGGCCACTATTCTCGACAGCATAGGGTGTGCGCAGGGGGTGGTCCTTCACCGCGGCCGCTATGCGCGCCAGTCGTCCAGGAACATAGCAGGTGTGCCATTTTTTCGCAACCACAGGCGTTGCGCAGGGGGACGGTTTCTTAGGGCGTAGCGCGCGTCGAGGCCACAGGGGTACGCAAACACGTGGCATTTCCACTTCAGCTATCATCACGCCAGACAAATGATAATTGTGTGGGGTTCCTCGGTAGCGTAATTGCGGCTGGTGTCGCCAATCTTGAGGGGGGACGACGGCGACGACGACGGTGGAGACGTTGATGACGACCCTGACACTCTGGAGCCCTTCGAGGGCCCTCTTAGGAGTCTCTTGGGCCCTGTTGGGGGGCCTCGTGGAGGACTTCTTGTGAAGTTGCCTGGTCATTTGAACCCGCCTTAGAGCGGATCTAAGAAAATACGCAGCACCCCTCAATAGCAGATGAGAGTGAGGAGGTTGCCTCCGCCCGGGGGTGGAGGTAACCTGTGTTTACAGGGGAACATGGGGGAGTTCCCCCCGTCCCGCTTGTCCACGGGGTGGGGCGGGGGGCGGGGCTGTAGTGGTGACCTCCTCCTGTCCACAGGGGGGGCCGCACCCCGGCCCCTCTTATCCACAGGGGGGGGGGCTTCAGTTCTCCCTGTCCACAGAGGGTGCCCCCGTTGTCCCCCCTGTCCACAGGGGAAACCAGGGGGGGGAGGGGGGGGGGGCTGACTTCCCCTTGTCCGCAGGGGGGACCATCTCCGAGGACCCCCAGATAGAGGGGGACTGCATTCTGAGCCCTGACCCCCCCGCGGGGAAGGGATCAGAGGGAAGGTGCTATCCTTCGATTTAACTACGACGTTCTTCCTGTTATGTGGGACCGACGACGAGCAAGACTACCACGAGCAAGGCGACGACGACGATCAAAAACGACGGACGACGGCGACGACGACGAGGCGACGATGCGACGATGCGACGAGGCGACGAGGCGACGAGGTGACGAGGCGACGAGGCGACGAGGCGACGGCGAGAACGACGACGACGACGGCGACGGCGACGACGACGGCGACAACGCCGACGGCGGCGACGACGCCGACGACGCCGACGACGACGACGACGCCGACAACATGACGACGACGACGACCACGACGACGACGACGACGACCACGACGACGACGACAGCGTCTTCCACATGCTGACAGGGTCGGCCGAACCGGCGTTCATTCCGGTGTCACGATGACTGTGTATTCTTTTCCCCCCGATCCCCTATCCCCCCTCCTCCTGCTCGTCGGATGTTTTGTTCTTGGTGTCCGCGCGGCTACGTGAGCAAAACAGCGTTCGAAGTCTCGCCCTACGCTTTGCAGGGTGATCTCTCCAGATTTGAATCTTACATAACGGGCCTTGCTCCATGTCGGGATATGATGTAGGAGGGAGACTGGAGAGTCGGAGGGACGATCAGTGAGCAGGCGGAGGGTGTATGAGGAGGATAACAGGTTGCGGGATGGCAGGAGCAACGGACGGAGCAACGCGAAGAGGACGGGAAGGAGGAAGATGTTGAGGGACAAGTTGCGGATGGAGTTTGAGGGAGGAGCAGCGAGTATGGGGGTATGACGAGGAAGGAGCATGAGGGTAAGCAGGCGGAGGAGGAGTAAGTAGAATGAGGACGAGCAGCAGGGGTGAGGGGTGAGGATTGAGGGGAGGGGGTGAGGAGGATGAGGAGGAGGAGGAGAAGGAGAGGGTTTTGGTCCAGGACTGATCCTGGCACAGCTGCCAGAGAGTTTCGGTCAGACACCCGAACCCCTTGGACAGACCCCAGGCGTGTACCACA